CCCCCCCCCCCAAAAAGCACTTGAACTATAAGAAATACGACCTATGACCAAAATTAACTATCGATGTTTTGATAGCCATCAATTTTTTATATTAACTCTAGAGAATGTCTGTCGTCGTTGGAACCAGGGATTTTAAATTAAAATGTGTTAATAATTTCGGCCGTTTCAATCTTCTGTAAGAAGTACAGTGGTTATGATTAAAATAATAATATATAGACAGAGGCATTTATTTAAGTACCCTTAACCGACGAGCATGCATGAAAAGATTGATGACTGTTGATGACGCGAAAAAACTATGTAGGAATCGTAGTAATTGGCATTGTCGCGGAGAACCTAACGGGTAACCGGGGCTACGACTCGACGTGCAGGAGAAGGAACGGGGTGGTTTTTAGTTAGTAAGAGTCTGATACTCCCTCCTCGCCTCATCCAGGCGGGAGCAGTCATTCGATGATTTTCCCCCCTTTAAAAAAAAAAGTAATTGGCGTTCCATAGTCTCAGCCTCACCATGGGAGACAGGCATGAAGTTATGTATGTATGTATGTACAGAGGCATTTGTGTGTATAGATAATATCTCTGAGATATTATGCTACCCCCAAAAAAGTGTCATGTACACACAGCCACACACCAATCTATACAAAACCAGTTTATCCTGGTGTCGCGTCGCATCATCTTTCCGTACATTTAACGTTCAGTTTATACTGGTTATGTAAAGCTCGATGTGTAGCCGTGTGTACGAGGTGGCCCGAGGGTTTAAGACGCTCGCTACTCATAGGATGTGGTTGCGCGTTCGATACCTGCCAACGGCAAGTACCAATGTGATTTGTTCCGAGCTATATGTACTTTCTAAAAATATTTAGACACCACTGACAAATGGTGGAAAAACATCGTGAGGAAACCTGGGCTTATAAATTCTAATTATAAGTTAGAAATCGCCAACCCAAATTGAGCAAGCGTGGTGATTAATGCTCAAACCCTTTCCAGGCTTTTGGTCAGCACATATCGAGGGGTAACGGACTATTTGGTTTAAGCGACATTTTGGGCGATTTTGAGTTATTATAGGTATATATTCGACGGAGAAAAAATCGCTGATTCCGAATATATATATAACTCAATATCGCCCAAAATGTCGCTTAAACCAAATAGTCCGTTACCCCTCGATATAGTTATAGGCTGTTGATGTCAAAAAAAAATGTCTCTCCAGGTGCCCAAACTGGATGCATAGCAGTGGCCTGCCGAGCCCTCCTAGATGAGAAGACAGCAGCAGAGTTTGTTAAAAGTGATGTAGATGAACTCATAGACGCTGGTGACAGATATTACAAGCAGTGCATGATCGCACTCAAGTGTTATAAAGGTAGGTAAATGCCTAATTTTTATTTTAATGTCCGTCTGGTAGATCATTTTAAATCACTAGACACGTATTTTTTATTTTCTTACAGAAACGAATACTTTTGAAGATATATTGATTTGAAATGTCGCGTGGCGTCACTTCTATGTATTGTACTAGCTAATACGTGTCTAATGATTTAAAATAATCTACCAGACAGAAAATAAAAAAAAAGTGTCATAGGGTATATGACACTTTTTTTTTATAGTTGAGGCATGTATTTATAGAAGCTTTGGTTTTCATGATATAGGGCGGTAAACGAGTAGACGGATAACCTGATGGCAAGCAATCAGTGCCTCTCTAGGACACCGTCAACATCAGAGGCATTACACGGGCGTTTCTTCTCCTCCAATAACTTCTTCTGATTTATTTCGTTGGGGATCCAACGCAGTTGTTTATGTCCCTGAGACGTTGGACTTCAGTGTTCCCGTGTTTGCATGGTTGTATCTACTGTAGAAGAAGTTGCAACGGTTTTAGGAGTTTGTGGCGACCTTGTCTCGTAAAAAGCTTCTGCTATAGAGGACTGGCATCAGGCACATCAGGCTCACCACCACACGTGGCCCGCGACCGCTGCGATCTGTGGTCATTCATTCATTCACTCGCTCGCTCGACACGACGCCGTGCGCAATATCGGTTGACCATTGCAATCAGTACCTAATTAATGTTTTTTGATGGCATTAGTCGGTAAACGAGCAGATGGATCACCTGATGGTAAGCAATCGGCGTCGCCCATGGACACCTGGAACACCAGAGGCGTTACAAGTGCGTTACCGGCCTTTTGGGGATTAGAAGTTTGAGGATCGTTGGGGATTCAGGAATTGGGGAGATTGGGGAAGGGAAGGGTAATTGGGCCTCCGGTAACCTCACTCATACGACGAAACACAACGGAAGTTAAATACAGTCTTCTCATCATACCGAAGTCTTTTATTATTTAAGACCACCAGCAATACACCTGGAGCTTGATATTCAAACAGGACTAATGTGACAATATGTCTATTTGTCACTCAATTTCTTCACAAATCTTCTCCAGGGAAACCAGCTCTCCAATTGAACCAGCTTCTAACTTCATTCTACTTCCACGACACCAAGTATACAGTCAAGTTACTGGAGATGGACAAAGGTCTTTTGGCTAAACACCCTGATAATATTCAAGCTGATCAGGACTTTATGGCGTGAGTCTGATAATTGAATTTTGCTAGCAGCATAGTTGGTTGTTGTTTAGTTATTTTGCACATGGTTTACAAGCTATTTTGTTTCCTAGTTGCGACTATAACTTATGGCATTTTATTGTGAACAGGTGTTTTGTTATGTTGATTCTGTTCGTCGACTTTTGGTGCTGACTGTACTTAGTGACGGCAGAGTAGAATACATTGTAAGCATCCCTACTCTTCTGTCGGGTGTCGTGTGTCTAAGGAACTAAAATTTTGACAGAGACTGGGCAGCAGCGCTCTCTGATAAACCTGAACCTTTTATACTGCGATTTCCACCCTACCTACCAAGCGTGGAGTATAAACTCTAAGGCATACTCTCTTATGTGAAGAAGGGCCTTAATCCAGCAGTGGACTGTGAACCTATAAACCTGAACCTATTAAACTGCGATTTTCAACCCAGCCTGATGCTAAATGTGGATAGCCTTCCTCTACATAAGAAGGAGTTGTCTCAATCTCCACGGTTGGCAGGCAAATTGGGAAGTTCAGGTTTATCAGAGTGCGCTGCTGCGCGGTCTCTGTCAAATGTGTAGTGCCTTAGTCGGCTGTAATGACATACGCGGGAATAGTAGTGGTGACTTATGTATTCTTCTTTAAGGTGCTCCCTCACCGGGAGCTTTCGCGTGTAATGTAACGTCAGATCTGAGCATTACATCAGTGAAGGAGGAGAACCGAGCATTACAATGCGCACCTTGTAATGGATACAATGTGTGTCGCGGAGAACCTAACGGGTAACCGGGGCTCCGGCTCGACGTGCAGGAGAAGGAACGGGGTGGTTTTTAGTCAGTAAGAGTCTGACACTCCCTCCCGCCTCACCCGGGCGGGAGCAGTCATTCGATGATTTTCCC